GGTTACAGAGTATGCATATAACTGTACATACAATGTTTTCTTGGAGATACAGGTAATGCACGGTTTGCTTTTTTAATAGGTTTCCCTAGTGCCTAAGGAATATTATAAAGAGAATATCCTTCCTGAATTTCTACTGCTTGTTTCATTGCCTTTTTATTTTGCCTTTGTCTTCTTTTTTTTTTCAATTTATCTATTTCTCTGCTAAGGTTTTTTTTTTTTCTTCCCCCGAACACTTTTGTTATCATAAATTTTCATTTTATATTTATCTTTCTTCTTATAAATATCTTTCTTTCTTTTTTTTTTTTTGTTAGAACATTCTAGTTCTATATTCTCTCATTCTTTCTGCTGCTGTTTTCCCCATATTTACTACTCACTTAAGAAACTTTTAACTATAAACTAAACACACTATTAAATAAAAATAGCACAGCTTTGTATAAAAAGTGTTCTATAATAGTGAAGGAACTGGTTTAAACTAGTTGAATCAAGATGCATTAGCACTTGTTTGCATTCCCAGAGTGAGTTCCTTTTTAATGGTCAACCTATCAATTTTGTGTAACTGAGGAGATATTTAGTTTTGTCCTCTCTGTTATATGTGAAACTTTAAGAAAAATTTTTTTTTTTCCAAAAATATAACATAACATGATTGTACTAATAGACTTTATTGTAAAAACCAAATATTAAGTTAAAAATTTTTTTGTGTAATGAATAAAATAAACTTAAAAGAATAATTGTAACAGAGGAGACAGTATATATTTGAGATAATTTTTGACTTAAAAAATAAGAAAAAAATTTTTTTGACGGTAATCACAGCATAATTAGACTCAGGAACAGTTTATTTTGCACTATAAATCAAACTATATGTAAAATCGTAATATTTTTAATAACTTATTCCTCTTTAAAATAAACAGTTTTTTTGATAGAATAAGTTAAAATCATGAATGCTCTCCATGATAAATTTTACTATAATCATGCATAACTCCAAAAATTACTTTTGAATTCTTAAATTACAACAAATTTCCTTTTAAATGATACCAAATACAAGGATATTGCTTAAACTTTAAAAATTCACTAATGGTTTCAGTTGGCATGGAATTCAACATTTACATGCTTTAAAAAATTTTGAAAAGTTGCATATGTTTTTTTCATGCAATTGAAATCAGTAATATTTTTTCTTCAAATTTCGAAAAAATAGTGTCCGGTTTGAGGAGATGGAAAATTACATTTCAAGTCGAAAGTGACTGTCTGGTTACGGGAGTGTCCACTTTGTGGAGAATGTAAACTGCTGTTTGTAGAAAATGCAACACCATGAAGGAATCATCAGAATCAAATGAAATATTATTTTAATAATGGATATAGGATATTATGCAAATTAATAAAGTTTCAGAGCCATCGCGCGTGCGTGGCGCGCGCAGCGCCCTCTGAATTGATGCTGAAAGCGTATAAATAAAGTGCTGTAGCGGGACGTTGAAAATAGTCTATGATTATTTGTTAGTGGCAAACGTTTAGTGAGACCTGAGTATGCCTCCACGACGGAAGAATAAGAAATTCAAGCAACTTACGGAGTTTGAACGAGGGAGGATAATCGGCCTTCGAGAAGGAGGATTTTCCTATCGCGCAATAGCAGCTCGTATGCAGCGGAACAGTTCCACAGTGATGCGAGTTTGGAAGCAGTGGACCGACGAGCACCGAACAACTCGAAAAACAGGCACTGGACGACAGAAGGTGACGTCAGAGCGCGATGATCGACACCTGCTCCGCATGGCGGTGAATGATCGCACAGCTTCCTCCAGGCAGCTGGCAGCACATTGGTCTACTGCTACAGGTGTACAATTGTCGGCTTCGTCAATTCGTCGTCGTCTGCTGCGCCGTGGATTGCGTGCAAGGGTGCCATTATACAGGATTCCCCTCACGGCGGATCATCGACGGCTGCGTCGGCAGTGGGCTCTTGAGCACAGAGACTGGCGAGCTGATTGGCACCAAGTTGTCTTTTCAGATGAATCACGCTTCAATTTGTGGACCCATGATGGCCGTGTTCGTGTTAGACGTTATGCCGGTCAACGCTGCCTTCCTGAGTGTATTATTGAACGACATAGTGGTCGAACACCCGGAGTTATGGTCTGGGGTGCGATTTCGTATCATGGACGATCCAATTTGATACGAATTGAGGGTAATCTCAATAGCAACAGATACGTCCGTGAAGTGCTACAGCCCGAAGTCGTTCCTTTCCTTCAAGGCATCCCTGGAGCTATCTTTCAGCAGGATAATGCACGCCCACATGTTGCGCGGACTGTTAGAGACTTCTGTTCAGCACAACGCATGCAACTTCTTCCTTGGCCTGCTTATTCGCCGGATATGTCGCCTATTGAGCACGTGTGGGATATGGTTGGTCGGCGTCTCACTCGTGATCCGCGTCCTGCAGTTTCCAAAGACGAACTTTGGTTGCGCATACAAGCGATATGGAATTCTCTTCCTCAAGCAGATATTCAACATCTGTTTGACTCCATGCCACGTCGTATAGCAGCACTTATTGCAGCGCGTGGTGGCTGCACCAAATACTGATTTCGGACGCTTAATTTGTTTCTTTTGTTTTGAAAATTTCATCATTTATTTGTATCAGTACAAGTCGTTTCTGCATTAAATTTCATTTGATTCTGATGATTCTTTCATGGTGTTGCATTTTCTACAAACAGCAGTTTACATAAGGGTTTATTCATAGAAAATTCATGGGGAATTTAAGATATGTCCATATTAAAAGGCGTCCATTTCGCAGGAGTGTCCATAACAGGAGGTTTTAGTGTATATATTTTATTTGTTATTTTGCCTGTTTTATTTTCATGTAATTTTTAGTATTAAAAGATGGAGGAGCTGTTATCACTCAGAAATAAAGCTGCTCAAGAAAAACTTTAAAGCTTAATTTTTCCTAGATAAAAGAGAAAATGCTGTCTAAAAATGTCTTTTTAAAAAATGAAAAACAGCTGTAAACAATAAAATGAATGTGCATTTCAGCATTAAAGATAAATTATTTAAGAAAAGCTTGCACATGTTTTTAAAAGTATTTCGTGGATATAACATTTACATTATTGATAAATGGTTCAATATATTTAAACATGAATTGCATGTGCAAGCAATCTGAAAATATAAATGAATAAATAGAAATAATAAATAAATAAAACCTTATTCTTTCAATTTATTTTCATTAATGTTTGACTAATATTGAAACCCTTAATCAGAATTTTGTGTCGGAAGGAATTATATAACTTGTCTTGTGCAATATTTCATTTAAATTATTGTTATTTTTATAATGATTCATAGGAAGTTTCCTTGGCTTCCTATTAAAAACTAGGAACAAAAGTATTTACAATAACAATAAAAAATTATGTTAAAAATTCATTTTTAATAATTATCGTAGGCTTAAGTTAGCACTTTGCTGAAAACACCCATATTTATTCTTAAACTATTCTATGAGAGGAAATTAAAATACTCATTAATATCTAATTTTAGGAAATAAATTAACTTCATAAATTACAGAAGTGCCCTTTTCTCGCAGTGAGCGAATGAGAAAAGAAGCATTATTTGCTTCTGAAGTTTTTTCCCATAAATAAAATTAAAATAACATTATATGTTCTTTAACTATCCTATTAAAGGGAATGAAAGCACTTATTAATACATTTTTAGAAAATAAATTTAAAGAAGGGAACAAAAGTTTTGTCTTAACACCTATCCAGTTCACTTATTCAGTTTTTTTTTACACACTAAAAAACATCTGCCAGTTTATTGATATTTGTTTTGTAGTTTTATCAGAACATGTTCTTAGAACATGTGCACTGTTTATACCCAAATAATAATGCCATCAATCTGAAAGATTCTAAATTGCTAAGAGTTTGCAAATAATCTAAATTATGAGTTTCAAACTTTTTTACCAAATAAAAAACTCATTTAAAGATCAAAAAAATAATACATAGAAATAACACTACAAAATCTTAATTTTTAGAGATAAAAGTCAAACAAGAAACTCTCACTGAATTCTCACTGAGTACAGGTATTTCAGTGAGAATTTTTGTATTTGTAGGTGGTAAGAGTTACAAGTAAAGAAATAAGATTTCATGGGTTATTAAAAAAATATTTATTTCAGATAATGCTTCAAACTTATGGGGTGATGTTGTAAAAGTATTTTCAAACTGTATATGGAGCAAATTGTTTATTCATTTTTCTGTAGAAAAAACTGAAATATCCTTCATTTGCATCATTTTTGCCTATTTGCAGAGAATGTTGATTTGGAATGAAATCCACATATTCACAATTAAGCTATTGTGAGTCATATTGAATTCACAATATTCCTTTAATTGTTTTGTGTTGCATTATTTATGTAAATTTTAAAAGGCAAAAAAAAAAGAAAAAATTTCTGATTAAATTTGCCAATAATCATAGTATACTTTAAAATTATATTTTTTTAACTTTTTTTCATACTTCTTTTTTACGAAATTTTTTTTAACAGACAGTAAGAAATTTAAACTATTACTACATTCAAGTATTGTGAAATATAAAACATGTCTTCATAAATAAATATGTATTTAAATTAGATCTGGTGTAAAATCACATAATTCTTTTTCATACTTGTTAAAATCCTTCATTTTGCAGTTTATGGCTTAAAATGTATATCTATAATTTTTAAAGAATCTTAATTTTTTTCTACTTTTCTTTTTTTTTTCATAATTTTTTTTTTTGTCTTTGCTATCATGACTTGAGAATTTTTTTGTGTTGGATTTTGTAACTTAACTGGTAGTTAGCACTAATAAATTAGTAAATTTGCATATTTAAGGTATTTATAAGCTCCTTAAACCATTTCTGTCACTGATTTGTTATGGGATTTGTACATGCAGAAATGAAATTTAGTAAAAGAGTGCTAGCAGAAACTTGCAATGACTCTTTTTAAAGTTAAACAATTTTGTATGTTCATATTTATTTTATACTGTTATTGAGAAATATTTTGTTACTTTCAGATAATTCGTACGGCAAAGACCTTGAAGCGAGGCAAACTGTGTGTGCAGTTTTATGGAAATGATGATCAGTAAGAAAAAAACTGATTATTTTGTTTATTTAAGCTGCATGATATTTAAAATTTTTGTGCTAAGTTTATATCTCTTCAATTGTAGAAATGGTGTAGTGATAATGGTATCTGACTAATGAAACTGCTGATACAAGTTTTAATTTTTGCTGATAGACGAAGTGCCACAATTCTTAAGAGATTAGTGCTTATCTATATGCTTGTCATTTACGCTTACTAATTACTAGGACCAGATTCAAAGAATATAGAAATAAAGACTGCCTTAGTGTATCAAGTGCATGCAACCTTTATAGAAAGAATGTAGTGCTTAAAATTTAAAGTTTGACTTTTAAAGGAAAAAAAAAAAAAACATGTTTGAGAAAGGCATGAAAAGACTGTTGGGTGGCTACTAAATGCTGCTACTTTCAATGTAACTGAAAGTAAATGTGTTAATTATTAATTAAATAACTCATTGAAAATAAATTTAAAGGAATGATAATAAAAAACTTTTTTGATAAGGAGCTGTCTGTTGTAAAATTTTAAATTATAAATAATAAAATTTTCTGTGTTTAGTTAGATAATTTAATTCTTTACTGCAGCAACATTCAGGGTTGAAAAAAATACCATTGGCGAAAGGAAAAGATTAGCAGTCGCCACATGACAACTAATAAATTAAAGCTGGTGCTGAAGAAATTACTATAATTTGCCACTCACTCTCCATTGCCTCTTTTTATCATTTAACTCCCTGTCCTCACCACAACCTGAAAATGCACCATAGCATGCATAAAAGCGTTTATAACTTCTGTTTCTTTTTTAATTAAATGTTTGACAAGTTGTATGTTACTGAATTTCCTATAAGAAATCTTTAAAAAGGCTAAATTTAAGCACAATAAAATTCAATCAACTTTTTTTTTCCAATCTTTTTTGAATTAAAAGATTTTATTTCTTAATTATTATGACATGATGTTCTTAATGACTTTTTCTGTTTGTTTCAGTATCTTTTCAGGTGAAGGTAACTTTTTTTTATTGAGGTCGTTAAGTAGAGTTTGTTCTTGAGAAAAGAAATTCCTCAAAGAGTACACTAGTGGTTAATTTTGTTTTATTACTGAAAGGTGAAGCAAGAATAAAAATGCAGAGGCAGTATTCCGTTTTTGGTGCATCTGTACCAAGTAACAATGAAACAGAAAAAGGGAATAGCAGAAAATATTAAAGATACCCTGTATTTTCAGAAAAATATTTGATAATAAATCTTTAAAAGCATCGAATGATTGAAGGATAAGATTTATCTAAAAAAAATTTCTTAAAAGGCAAATCAAATGCAAAAGATCAAAAAATATTAAAGAATCAACAATGAAAAAATACAAAGATAAATAAAGCTGAGAGAAGCAGTTACAGAAATTGTAACTTTAATATTTCATGTTTCATTAAGAGGCTTAATTTTCCAGAGTTAGTTATTATATTTTCTTCTGATACAGAGTTACAGATTAATTATGAAAAAAAAAACAAGTCTAAAATTAAATTTATTGTATATTCTTTTTCATTAAGATATATGTTATAATAATAATATATCTGTGCATATTTTTGGAAAAATTAAAAGACGCAATTTTTAATGCAAAAAGGTGGCCACTGGTAAATTTACCACTAGTGGCCACTATATGAAGTTCCCAGTTTTGCCCTTTACCATTGGCCATTCATTAATTTTTCCTACAGTTAAATCATTTGCTAAAAGTATGATTTCAAATGCTTTTTAACTTAAAATAGCTTGGGAGCAGAAATATTTATATTGTGACTTGCTAGAAATCAATTTGTTTCTTGCCAATTTCACCCAAAAACATTTTACAAACAAAAGCGTGGGGTGTATCATAATAAAACCCCAGTTTCGATAAAATACTGATGGATCCTTTTCTAAAATGCGCATTCAATTTAAACTAGTTCTGGAGATCCTGGCCAAGTACAGGGATGAGATTTTTCCGCTTTTTAGCGGATTTCCACTTTTATCTCTTGAATTTCAGCTTTTTTTTTTATCAAAAATTCAGATTTTTATAAAAATTTCACTTTTTTTTTTAAATATTCCGCTTTTTCAGAAAAATTCACCGATTTTCAAAGAAAAACAGAAAATTCAAACTATATAGCTACCAATCCTTTCTCATTTTTACTTATTCTAACTATTTTCTCCCCTTTTACTCACAGCAGATAAGATTTTCCGAATTTTTTACCCGCCCTCCAGATAGATCCGATTTTTGTAGTTCAAACGACGCTGCTTCTGACAAGCCTTTTACAGGTCCCAAGCCTGGAATCTGCTAATATCTCGATTCTTATTCACACGATTTTAATATCTAACATAGCTTTTCATATTTGCGTGTTGCGATTCTTATTCACGCGATTTGAATATTGTACATTGCGATTCTTATTTACGAGATTTAAAAATCCGATATTGTGATTCGTATTTACGCCTTTTTAAAAACCTATGTAGCGATTC